AGGAAATGCTGAGGATAGAATTCTCCAGGCTTCTCCCACTGAGTCTTGTCATACAACACAGAGGCCAGTAAGGGGATGATATAAGTACCCTAAAAATCATCACAAAATAAAAATTAGAAGAGTCAAAACTTTTCCATTGAACTTTGATTTCAACAACAAAAATGGCATTTTGTTGGCAACAAAAAAATTTGTGGAAAAATTCCATTTTCGGCAAAATTTTCCCCAAACTAAATTTTTTTTTACTGATAACCAACATTTTTAGTAAGAACTGTTTTTGAAAATAGAAAATGTTCACCAAAAATGACTTTTAAACCGAGAAACAGCTTCTCTGTTTTTTCCTGGAATTTTAAAAAAAAGAAAAAAAAAAAACCCAACCCTCAATTAAAAATAAAATCCTTAAAATAAATAATAATTAAAAAATTGTATTTTTCTACCAGCTCTAATAAAAATATCAAATTGACCATAAACTGTGAGCTTCATTCAGAAGGATAACGGGCCAGATCATCAGGTTTCATTGAGGTTTTTAAGGTCAGGCTTGACAAAGCCCCGGCTGGGATGATTTAGTTGGGGATTGGTCCTGCTTTGAGCAGGGGGTTGGACTAGATGACCTCCTGAGGTCTCTTCCAACCCTAATCTTCTATGATCAACTGGTGTAAACTGGCATAGCTCTGCTCACATCATTTGCACCAGCTGAGGATCTGACCCAGGACCAGTATCCTGCAGATATATCCCTTCCGGGAGTGCCCAGAGCTAGGGCTCTTTCCACTTCCCACCCTGCCTTGTTAATATGTCATGTCTTCATAGTTGACAAACTCTCAGGACAGCATCCCCCTGCCCTCTTTCCCATAAGCATGCCACAGGTTTGAACCAGAGCACTGCAGATACCACTGCATGTGTTACTTTGTGGTTAGTCTTATCTGAGCTGAGCTGCTAAGAAGTTTAAAGTTTGATTAGTCTGTGGATGGGAGTTGTCCAGATGAAGTCAAGAATGCTGTCAGAAGTGGTGTGGCTGGCTTCCTGCCCTATGAGCCAGAACTGACTGTGTTGGGTAGGAGGTGGTGGTGTGCTGTTGTTTGAGAAGGACTCATCACCACATGTGAAGCCAAAGTGCTCACAGAGCATTCAATCTGCTGTCAGTTTCATGATAGAACATCTTTAGTTCTCTTAAGTTAAAGAAAAAAGGAAATATTCAAAAAATATCCTCGCTTCTCATTCAAATCTTCTTATGTGATTGTGTCTCTCTCTAGGGTTGTGCTAGCCGTAGGGAGGAGAACGGCCTTCTACTTTATCAAGAGCTATCAGAGTAACTCCTTTAGCTGCAGTTAGATGAGCTAGTACTTTTGATGCTGAAGCCCCCAGGTTCAATCCCTACTGATCACCATGGTGTTTATGTGCATGAGGTCATGTGATTTCTGGTCTGGAGGAATTTAAATAATCCATTGTTATTCTGTTTTAATTGGTGAGTATGAAGGTCCTGGTAATGCGTCTGACGAAGTGGGTATTCACCCACGAAAGCTTATGCTCCAATACATCTGTTAGTCTTTAAGGTGCCAAAAGACTCTTTGTTGCTGGTAATTAAAGTACCTCTTAAAAAAAAAAAAACTTACTTTAGGAATAACATAGCCATTAAGTCTGACATCCTCAGTAGTCTCATGAGGCAAGCTCATTGGCAGGATATTAGCAAACCTCTGAATTTCATGGATGACTGCATCCGTATACGGCATTTGTGTCCGATGTTCATAACGAAGCTGGGCAGAGCCTATAACTCTTTCAACCTCTTCATGGACTTTTTCTGAGCAATTAAAAGAGAGTGAAAGCAGGTGCTCAGATACTATGGTGGTGGGAACCCCTATGAGAAACTAGACACAGAGAAGAAAACATACAACTGACACCCGCTAAACAATATAATCCACACCCTTTAGGACACAAACATCTTGTTTCTAAAATGCGGCTGCTGACAACCTTAGTTACCAAGGCTGAAATGGAAGAAGGCTCAGATGGGTAATTTGGGAGCAGAGGTAAGCATGCCTCTTCTAGCTGTGAATAGTAGTAACCTACTGAGTGCAGAGAAGGTACTGTCTCAGTGCAAAGGGTAGGGCTTTTGCTTTCAGGGCTCCATCCTGTGAGGTGCTAAACATCCTCCAATTCCACTGATTAATGAGAGTTGAGTGTGCTCTGCATCTGCTATGATCAGGCTCTTGAGGTTTACAATACACTGTGGTCCCTTCCATCCTTACTGCAGTCCAGGATTTAGGGAGACCCTGTGTAGGGACATTAGGCAGCAAAGAGTGATTTAGTCAGAGGGAAAACTGCAGGGGCCTCTCTGAGTCCAGCAGCCTCAATAAAGAATTCCCTTTACTTTCATGACAGCCGAGTCTGTCTTCTCCCTACTGTGAGGGATGACATCATGCCAGATGTCTTGTATTTGAACATGGGCGAGGACTGTGGTGTCTGTATGTGTGTGGACATAGCTTGTACAAAAGCACACTCAGTACATACAGAGTAGACCAAGAGAAGTGATGAATAGTCAAAAGGGTTCAGAAATCTTACTCTGAATGGCTGGGTATTTCATCATAAGCAAAAGGCCCCAGCGGAGTGTGGTGGAAGTTGTTTCCATCCCAGCTGTGAACAGATTACTCACAAGGCTTTGCAAATTCTCATTTTTGAAATGGGTATTGGGATTAGATTTTTCCTGTAAGTACAAAACTCCCAGTTAATGTTTAAAGAATATTGGCAATCAGGGAAAATCTGCATTAGCCCCCCCCACACACACAAACACACACACTCCCCTCTTCCCTAGCCCGTCGGTACCTCCTGCTGCCTGATGAGAAAGGCATCAATGAAACTTCTCTGGTCATTGGGATCTAATTCCTTCAGGTGTTCGATGAAAGTCTGCTGAGTAAAGGAGTACAGTTCTTCCAGATTATTAAAGACAGTCTTGTGATTTCCTGGTAGGAACCCAAGGGCGGGAAACATATTAAACAGCTAAAGGAAGGGAATAGCACAGTTAGCCAAAGGAAACGCAGATTATAATGGTTAACAAATCATTCATGATCAACATGTGGCTTTAGAGTAACATGTATTGAGATGATAAACATGCCTTGTAAATAATAGGGCCTGTTTCTATAAGCCTTCCACATGCAGAACTCCCACTGAGGTCAATGAAACAACTCTTGGAACTCATCTTCTTCTTCTTCTTCATATGGCTGGTGTAGATGTAGAGCAACAACTATAATTTTACATTCAGATGGTTAAGCCAGCTAGACTCCTGGGGTGTGTCTATAACCTTTTTACGCTAACACTTTATGCTGTCGCTGGTGCTGTTGTGCTGATGATAGCAATGGTGGGAGAGCTTGTGTAGACCGGTCATCGGCCTTTTAGCAGCTGTGTCAATTGACTTTGTTTTAGAAAGGATATAAACTCTCACGCTTAGGGCACAAGCCGGTCAGCTAACTGATGGTGGTGAGGATTATGGGCAGGGTTTTCCATGGACAGGTTATTCACTGTAGGCAGGTTATTCCACCATTGCCCGTCATAAGGGTTTCTTGCTTCTTCCTCTGGAGCATCTGGTGCTGCTTCCTTTAGAGACTCAGCACGTTTTAGATGATATGGTTTAATCAGAAAATCCCAATTCACTGAAACTAGAACGTTTCAAAGAAGCATATTGTTTTGATGACATTTTTAACAGGAAAGGTTTTGCAGCTCCAGGATGGAATTTTTGGCCAAGGGGATGGGGGGAGGGGAACAAACAATTCCCCACAATAGCCAATAGCCCTGTGTTTAGGGCATTCATGCAGGATATGAGAGACCCAGGTTCAAATGGCTGCATTGCCTGATTCTCCCACACCCGAGTTGAGTGCTCTAATCACCGTGCTATTGGCTAATCTGCGATTAAGATCTCTCTCTTTTGGAAATATTTTGAAATCCCAAAAATGGATATGGAATAAACCAGACTAACTAATATTACCGTAACCATGGGACTCCCAGAAAGCCGGACACTTTCATTAATTAAATGGATAAGCCTGAGAAACTTTGGATCCTCATAATCAAACCGGTGTCCGAGCATTATCGACACAATGACATTGGACACGGCAGCATTCATCATCTTCATGGTGTCAAAGGCGCTTCCTGAAAAGCATTAAACGGCAACATTCATCATTTTGTTGGTATCCAATGGGTTTCGTACTGGAAACCATTGAAATAATTGACCTCCTCTTCCCCTTTTGGGATGACTTGCATTCCTTGGGGCAATAGGAGGGAGCAATCTCTGGGCTCCTTTAAGCAGAGGTACTGCTGGTGTGCAGAGAAGGAGGGCTCATTACACCTTTCCCTTATGTCAGATCCTCAGGTCAAACTTCCCGGAGAGTCAGTTTGAGATTTGCCTCAGTGAGGAACTGGCCCATTATTATTAAGCTAATCCTCCCAGCATCTTCCCCTCCCACCCTTCACACAGCCACCAATGTGCTCCAACTGGTTCCGGCTCCTCCCCTAAGTTCTGATGAGTTGGAATCAAAGGCAAAAGAGTCATGACTGAGTTAATTCCCAAGTGAGATGACTCCATGAGGGTGGGAGGAAGGGGGTTTCACAGGTCCGGATGTGGTTAAGGACTTTGAATGATTACCAGTGTTACACTACGAAGCTCAACACGTGCTTACCTTTGTGGGATTCAAAATCCTTTATCAGATAATCGCATTCTTCCAGGACTTTGTTCTCAATGGTCCTCCTGCCCATACCAAAATCCCGTAAGGTCGTGAGAGTGAATCTTCTCATCACTTTCCAGTTTTCACCATGAGCAAAAATAATACCTGAAATGCAAGAGAACCCCCCGCAAAAAAAAAAACAAACCTCCAGGTAAATCTATTTTAATAGGGACAATATCATTCCTT